AGGACCAATAATATTGCAGATTCTTCTTTGGATTTCTATCAAGAATTTCAGAATATATAGCAGAAGCGCCAGGTTTTATTTTAATTTCTATATTTCTTAAGTTCTTTAAAACTAACAAAAACGATTTTCATCATCTTAGAAAAGGTGATTTAATACGTATTTAGTTGTATTATTGAAATTAGTTTTTAATTTTATGAATTTTCCTTGTGTTTCGGCTAAAATCATACCTGAGAGAGAAGTTTGGTTTGTTGTGTTTTACGGCTTATCAACCTGGGTGCAATCGTCAGTATGAAACGATTGCGTCCAGCATGAAACAGCTTGCCTTCTCTGAGTGCTGACTTCAAAGTTCACATTTATATATATTTACATACGCTCTATCTCTGATATTGAGCACTTTAGCCAATAAATATAGCACAATTAAAAAACTATATTTCTTTATATATATATATATATATATATATATATATATATATATATATATATATATATTGGTGTATATACATAATATCCAACGTCGACAACACTACTCGGTGTTTGATGCAATCTTCAGGTGTGGAAATTCTGACCGTTGTCTATCGCGTTCTCGTGATGATGATACAAAATTGTGTGTAAAAACTTGTCTATTTAAAATATAGAAGTAACTGTTGATAATTTATATCGTTCAAATTCATAAGTTCGAAAGCCGATGAATTAAAAAAATAAGAAATAATAAATAAAAAAAAGTATTTAAATTTGAATTTTGATTCGAAAGTAAACAATATATCAAGTGAGGTCACTCTCGTCACATATATATATATATATATTTGCTCGACAGACAAGGTACTACGGTTAAGTTTTTATTTAATTTTTCTTGTGTTCGAACAAGAGCTTTCTTTTCTGGACAAAGGGTGTGTAAGAACTGTCCAAATGTTTTATATTTCCGAGCGCTTTCGCCTATACCTTTAGCCATTATCAAGGATGATTCAATTTTCAGCTTAATTGAGTGTGTGCATTCTGTGTATGTCTTAGTGTGTGGTAGGGATGTTTTTAATTTCCGAATACGGTTAGCACATTGTGGCTGTGTTCGTACTTAATATTGTTAAGGGTTGTCATTTTCTTTTTTATTATTAAAGCTTCCATTAATTGTAGTCTTTTTTTGCAGGTGGATGCAGTTAATATATTTGTGTTTTCTACTAGTATGTTCGTAATGGAGTCGGGTAAATTTGTGTGTGTGTTTAAATGGGTTCTAATGGAGCTGTGATCTGATAGGTGTAACGTAAGACGTCTGGATAAGCATGTGGTTGTGTAACCGATGTAATAATATAATATAACCGGTTTGATCAGGAACACAGTTTCTTAAGGGGGACTTGAACTTATAGATAATGTTCGTTCTTTGTAATTTTGACTTAGTTGGTGTGTTGTTATTTTTCAGGATAAGGTTAGTAGTCTTAATTTTTTTATAATAAAGCGCTCGGAAATATAAAACATTCGGACAGTTCTTACACACCCTTTGTCCAGAAAAGGAAGCTCAAGAAAAATTAAATAAAAAGTTAACCGTAGTACCTTGTCTGTCGTTTTTTAATAAAACATGCATAAATGAAGGATTGCTGCCTAAATATACAACTATATATATATATATATATATATATATATATATATATATATATATATATATATATATATTATTTTTATCAAATAGACAAAACCATTTTACTACTACAATGATGAAACTTGGTTTCAGTATATTTCAAATGCACTTCGACGGGTGAGAATCGAAAATGGTTAACTAAATGGTGATGTATATATGCATATATATATATATATATATATATATATATATATATATATATATATATATATATGTGTGTGTGTGTGTGTCTGTGTGTCTGTGTGCAAATATATAGAAAAAATAGGAAAGAACACGTTAGGTGAATAATCCGAAGTTCTTTAGTATTTTTTTTTTTTTTTAATAAAAAAACAGTGCTCAATACACAAGTAGAGCATAGATTATAATTATTTTTTAATTCAATTTAATTTTAATAATTATATTGAAGTTTTTGGCTCCTGTTTTTGAAACATGAGAACTTTTATGTAGCGAAGGAATCATATTTTTTAAAAATAATTACGGCATATATATATATATATATATATATATATATATAGAGAGAGAGAGAGAGAGAGAGAGAGGTGGGGAGGAACAGTCTTCCCCAAGAATATACCAAAACTACCTGTAAATATTGTGTAACTTTTTTCATTGTTCAATACATTTTGTTACGTACATTTTGTGTTGTATTATTATTATTCCATGCTTATTCAAGCTTCAACAGTCATCCACTTGCTTGAGCCCGCCAGGAATGACATGCGTTGCTTTCCTTTATCAATCTTTACCTCTATTCGACCTGTGAGTACCAGATTCTCCAGCTCGTCCTTTCTCGATACGTTTCTCAGAAATTTCATCTTCCCTTTCGGTAATCTTTCTTCTTTTTTTTTTTTTTCAAAGAAGAAATTAAAACAAAGAAGGAAGAGAAACATTTAAATTAGGAAAGAAAGGAAAAAGAAAAAAATGGAAGAAAGAAAGAAAGAAGAAAGAAAGAACGGTAAAGAAAATTGATTGTGAGAGTTTAAAGAGATATTTTCAAAGACCCAGCCTAACCCCTCCTGTTTCTTTCATACTGAGAAAGATTTGGCCTCTCCACAATTATTACGACCACAGTTGTATTAGACATCTATTCTTTTCTTTTTAGGTACTCTGTGACTTCGGGACGTAGTCGATCATGGCTCTCCACTTCACCTTGTCCTTTGTCTCTCAATAAGTTACGTCCCTTTGACACTTCCCCAAGATCACGTTCTGTCATCCACTTGCTTAAGCCCGCCAGGTATGTCATGCGTTACATTCACTTATCATTCTTTCCCTCTATTCGACCTGTGAGTATCATATTCTCCAGGCCCTCTTTTCTCGATACGTGTCCCAAAAATTTCATCTTCTTTATCGGTTATCTTTAATTTTTTTTTTTTTTCAAAGAAGAAATTAAAGCAAAGAAGGAAGAGAAAAAAATAAATTAAGAAAGAAAGGAAAAAGAAAAAAATGGAAGAAATAAAGAAATAACGGTAAAGAAAATTGATTGTGGAGCTTTTTTTAAAGAGATATTTTCGAAGACCCAGCCCAACCCCTCCTGTTGCTTTTTACATTTTTCCCCAGAGCTGAAACTTAAAAAAGTAATCATTATAATTTGTTCATATTTACTTATTTATACGTTTTTATGATTTTTCTTTTTTTTATTCAATCTGGAATTTGATAAACCTTATTTTAAAAAAAAATCTCTGCTTGAATTCTATTTTTTTCTAACCTTTGAATTATTTTCCGACCAACGTTTTCCAAACTCCTGTTTATTTCACACTGAGAAAGATTTGGCCTCTCCACAATTATTACCATCACAGTTGTATTAGGCATCTATAGTATGTTAAAAAGACAAAAGTAATTGACCAAAAAAAGAAGTTAGAGACACGAAGAAGAATATGTGAATAAACCGAGATAGAAGAAAATATCTAAAAAAAAGAAAGAAAAGACAGTAAAGAAAACGAAGAAAGCAAAAGAAAACTGAATTGGAAAAGAGAAAGAAAAGCTCTCTGCATGCAAATATAACCGGTTAAAATGAAAAAAAAAGAAAAAAGAAAGAAAAAAGAAAAGAAATCAGAAAGGAAAAAGAAAAGAAATAAAGGAAAAAGAAATTTTAATGAAAAGATAAGAAAATAAAAGGAAAGGATAAAAAGTAAAGGAGACGAAAGAAAGAAAGGTAAAATAAAAGTAAATGAAAAAAAATAAGGAAAAAGGAAAGGAACATGAAGGAAAATGAAAAGAAAGATGGAAGGAAAAATACAAAAAGAAAGGAAAAATAAAAAGAATAGAAAAAGAAAATCAAATAAAAAAGAGAGGGAAGGAAAAAGAAAAGCTAAAAATAGTAAAAGAAAAACAAATGAAAAAATGGAAAGAAATGTAAATGGAAAGAAAATAAACGAAAAAGAAAAAGAAAACAAAAAATAAAATAAAAGGAGAAAAGAAGAAAAAACAAAAGAATGAGAAACGAAAAGAAAAAGAATGAGAAACGAAAAGAAAAAGAAAGAGAAACGAAACAGAAAACTAAAACAAAAAAGGAAAACAAAGGAAAAAAGAAAAGAAATGAAATCAAAAGAAAAAAAAAAAAGTAAAAAAATGAAAAGGAATAAAGAAAGGAAATATAAAAAAGAGAAAATAAACGCATAACAAAAAAATAGGAAAAATTAAAAAAAAAACAAAAAAGAAAGGATAAAGAAGAGAAAAAGGAAAAGAAAAGGAAAGAAAAGAAAAAAAAAGTCTCTGTCAAAAAAGAGTTACGTGCCCTTTGTAACAACTTTAGAGTCGGTCAGAATTTCCAAGAACCGCAGCAACAATGCTCAATTCTGATATTTTTTCTTCGTTCCAAATCTAATTAACTATGCAATTTTTTCGTTACAATGCAGCTTAATTTTCTCTTCTTTGTTGCTTTCTATTGTCAGGCAAACAGCGAAATATTAAGTGCAGCATCACTCACATCTGAAAGGTGTCTCGCCAAAGAGAAAGACGTGATGTTACAAAAGCTAATACAAAGACAGAGAGACAGAGAGACAGAGGTGGGGAGCAGAAATAAAGGAAAATCCTTTTTGTATTGATGGTCAAGTGAATAAATACTATGTTTGGAGTTCTATAGAGAATTAAGGGATATAATCTCATCCGCAGTCTTATAAGAAAAAAATAACCTTTGCATACTCAGGCATACGTTCATTGTAGCACTTCTACCAACGATGGAATCCATAGATCTGTAAGTGTGTAGAATTTGAACGGATGTATTAAACTAAATTAGCCTGGAGGGCAAATCGATAATAGATTTTATTAGTTCTTAACTAAGAGCCTCAATATTGTTGACCTTTTGCCAGACCAAGCTAACCTCAAGACTCGACTGAACATATAGCTTATAAATTAAATAAAAATTTGATAATTACTTGACTTACGGTCATAACACTTCGAAACAGCGGTTCTCGTTCGATCACCGAAGTTAAGCCAGATCGAGCCTGGTCAGTATCTAGATGGGTGATTGTTTAGGAATACTAGATGTAATATAATTTTCAGTAGAGTCTTGAAGTTAGCTTAGTCTGGCAAAAGTTCAAAACATTAAGACTCTTCTCGAAAACGACCTCCAATCGGTTGTGAACTGGGGCAGGAAGTGGCTGGTCAACTTTAATGCTTCAAAAACAAAACTGCTCTCTATTAATCACCACAGAGATCCTTCCCTGCCCGCCATTAGAATATCTGACGCTCAACTTCTCGAGAGCACCTTTCTGCGGCTGCTCGGTCTCACGTTGACTGCTGACCTGAGATGGAACAAATACATTGAGTCAATTGCTTCGTCCACCGCAAGGAAAGTTGGCTCCCTGTGCTGCGCCAGGAAATTTTTCTCCCCGGAATCGATCCTCCAGATCTACAAATCAACAATTCGCCCTTGCATGGAGTATTGCTGCCATATATGGTCTGGAGCCCCTTCTGTTTGGCTCGGAGTTCTTGATAGGCTCCAGAGGTGGATATGCAATATAATTGGCCCTGATCTAGCATCTCGTATACAGTCACTTTCTCACAGACGCGCCGTCGCCTCTCTCTGTCTGTTTTACAAATATCTTCATGGCAATTGCTCCGAGGAGTTTCATTCGCTGGTTCCCAGACTTCATGAGTTCAAGCGCCCGACGAGGCTGGCATCCCACTCTCACCCCTTCACTGTCGAAACTCCTAAATGTAGCCGTCTCTTCTACTCCAATAGCTTCATGTCTCGCACCTCTCGCCTGTGGAACTCCCTTCCCTATTCTAGTTTCCCTGAGAGCTATAATCTCCAGCTATTCAAATGTAATGTCAATCGACATCTCCAGTTGCCTAGATCTATCCACGATCCTTCTCCTCATCCTTTCTTCTATCACTCCTATCTGATCTCGCTCCAAATCTTCTCTAACCCTTTGCGCCCTAGGGGCTTCCCGTCTTTCATAGGGTGAAACGCTTAAAAAAAAGAAGAAGTTAAGAACGTGTCGATTTGCCCTCCAGGCTAATTTGGTTTAAGGTATCCACTCAAATCCTGCATACTTACAGAAATATGGTTAATAACTGTAAATAGCAAATTTCCGTTCGAGTTTATTCTATTTCTTACGTACCAATACCCTTGGAAAAGGTATGAATCCACGTATTCACCCACCAGCTATGGGTTAAATAATAGATATTTCAGTAAATCCTCATTATCCCCTAAAAGTATTCTTACAATCCGAAAATACTGCCTGGCTTTAAATAACCTGCAAAAGGATGATAAACCATAAAAAATACAAAATAATCCTGCTGCCAGTAGCGCACGTCCAGTGATCTGACATAATGGTCACGATCATATTAGCCTTTTCCTTATAAGCATTCATTGACCGATGACCCAATCTGTTGAAATTTATCAAATATTTCTTTAAAAACATTTCTTTAGAAAAAATAGATTTGTAAAGTCCAGTAGCTGTTATCGGTCTTTGCAATATTGATGGGAGTTTCCTTCCTAACCATTTGTTTGAAGTCATGTGGAATGTCAACATCTTTACTATGTCATTTGAATACAATTTCGAGTTGCAAGTGATACCCATTTTAATTGTTGCTGTTGTTGAAAGTCCTCAAGGGATGCGGTTTCTTTCTATTTGGTACAAGTCGTTGTCTGAGATTCTGGAGCTCAACGATTTATAACAACATCTACCATTTGTAACCGTTCAACCTAACACCGTTGTTTAGATTTTTCTTTGTATAATGTCTAGCAGCTATAGTTAATATTTAATGAACAAAAAGTATGTGTTCGCTTTGAAAAAAAATCTATATAGGATGGTGGACTGAAACAAATCATACACTGACTATGAAGGAGCGATGCTACAGTTGTGAAATCATGCATGCATTCATTTTAACACTTCTTATTAATAACTGCATTGCTTCTTTCAAAGTAAACTGGCACCTGACTGCTCAAAGAAGACAGCTCAGCCTGCTGGTCAAAAAAATCATCAATAGCAGGTATGACTTCACCATCATTGCGATAATAGTTCCCAGCCAAGTGTTTCATCATGTTGGGGAACAGATGATAGTCAAGTCACGAGAATAGGGAGGGTGATCAATAAGTTCAAAGCGATAGTCAGTCACAGAAGCTATTGAAACCAAGGATTTATGTGCTGGATCATTGCCCTGATGAAAGGAGGCCTTCCTTCGTCAGTTTTACTGGGCGTTTGGTCTTGATAGCCTTTCATAACTGCCTCAACAAACACTCTCCATTGATGGTGTGGCACTTTTGAAGATAGTCAATCGACACCATGCCTTTTGAATCCCAAAAAACTGAGGCCATTACCATCCCAGCAGGTTGTTGTAGCATACCTACGGACATAAGTAGAGAAGTAAATACTGTATGTTGGTCTGCAGTTAGAGATTCGTCTTCAGCTCAAACTCTCTGCTCCCAGGAGAGAGGATCCCGAGAGGAGGCTATGTCAAAGAGCAGTCTCTAGTTTCGGGAAACAGCTACCCGACCCCGTTTTATACGCGGAATTTTTGGCCGAGCCTAATGTTTTTACCCCACATTAAATTCGGCCTTGTGCCACATCTGACCGCGTAGGGCGGTTGGTAAATATCCTGAAGTTGGAGATTCGTCGTGAATTTCACTTAACTCACAAATAGCAATTGAATACTTCTACGCGCCGCTGACGAATCTTATATGTGTTGTTCTTGTCCTAAGTAATATCGTTCATTATCAACGTTTGTATGATTATTCTATTCAGTAACCTTACCTAGGTTACATCACAGGTGAAATGAACTTGTCCTCCTTTGGACCAGGTGAGGAGGTGTGTCTCCATTCAATGGCTTGTCTATTTCTCTACTCAAAGTGATAAAGCCAGCACTGATCCTGGGTCGGGGCACGTATAACGAAACCGCCTGGACCTGCTTCAAACAATGTCAGGTTTCTCCCGCCATGTTATCAGGCCTGGCGGGTTTTTTGATCAGGAGACGTAACACCCACCGAGCAGAAAGTTCCAGCCTGCCAACTTCATTGTATAAAATATTCTCAACTCTCTCGCTAGATATATTAATAGCATTGGCTCTTTAATTAATAGTCAATCGCCTATAATCGATCATCACAATATAGTGAACAGGATCAATGTTTTTCTCGGTTGTATCTGTTACAAGATGTCAAGACTTGAGTCATCTTCAAATTTCTCCCTTCTACTACTAAATTCAGCTGCCCACCTTTGTACTGTTGATGAAGCTGGAGTGCCCCCCCCCATGAAACACCCATGACAGCATGAAACCCATTTTCTGCAAGTACTTGATAACTGTTGCAGTTTTTTGTATATATTTTGTACTAGTGAGCCAGTCAAAATGACATTTTATAGTCCACCAAGAGAAGGGTTAACCAATCAGAAGACGTAGAATATTCAATCCGTCGTGTATAAAGGCGGCCATTTTGTTTACTCTCTTCGAATGTTCAGTGCCAACTTGTCAGGCGAAGAGGAACAGAAGGAAGAACTACTGAACTACGCTCTGCTACTTTTACCGGGATATCCACTGCTAACCTGAACAACGCTTCCCTACTGTCTTCGAAATATTCACTGCTAACCTCTGGATTCTATACTCAAAGACGACCGTCGTCATGAACAACAATAACACCCCGTTGCCAATTCTTTTCCATATTCAAGAGAAATCGCTACTTATTAATTTGAAGTCTTTTTAGAAATGTCAGGTGTTAGTTTATCTGGAAGGAAACAATACAGTTATTAATAAGAAGAATTAAAACAAACGCATGCAAGTTTTCTCAGCTCTAGCATTACCTTTCATCGTCTTTCAATGTACTTATCAGACAATCCTCGTAACTCTAAAGAAAAAAAAATGAAATTATTAATAAGGACTGAAATTAATGCATGCAAGAGTTCATCCCGCTAGCAACACTTCTTCATAGCCTATGAACTTTTCAACCCAGCCTCATATGTGTTCCAGTTCTGGTAAAAAATATACTAATGTACTAATCATAAGTTCCTTTTTATAACCCATTAATGGAAGGCGGTTATTGCTGGGTTAAGTTAAGTGTTTGCAGTTGCCATTATTTTTAAATCATCCTGTGTTTGTTGCCTAAATCGAGTTTTGAATTTCGAAGGAAAGTTTCAATAAATTATACTTTAACGATAACAGGCGAATTGATCAAATAATGACAAGCGCATTGGTACGGATGATTGGTTGAGAAGTCCAGAAACTGACAAGAAATTTCTCACGGTTCAACGCGGATTTCTGTTGCCAGAGCGCTTTTTCAACGAATGTCTTTAACTCGTTGAAGAACCAATAATGCCTCCACGATCTACAAAGTTATCTGATTTTATATTCAAAGAGAAATAAATGTAAATAAGTTTCTTAAGTAACTGCATTAAACAAAACAAAGAAAAACTATAATTAAATATACCAAAGCCAATTTTCTAAGAGAAAATCGTTTTCGTGTAACCTTTTTTATTGACATGAATTGGAATAATTATATCAAGTCAACAGCTAAGTCTTCTGCTAGGAAAATCTGTTCAACGTGTCATGCTAGACAATTTTTCTAACCAGAATCTTTCTCATGTCTTTATAAGCCAACCTTTCGTCTATGCATTGAATATCATTGACACGTTTGATGCTTCTGTTAAATATTTAGTGATTCTTGACAATATCCAAAGAAGAATCTGTAATGTTACCGGTCTTAACCTGGCATCCCGGTTTCAGTCATTTTCAGATCGCCATAACGTAGCTTTGTTGAGCTTTTCCTACAAAAAGTTTTATGGTAATTATTCTGATGACCGTTCTTCCTTACGTAGACTTTATGTTGTGGATTCCGGGATGAAATCCGGTACCAATAAATAACAAACGCCAAGAATGAATATAGGAATATAATGTATTAATGTAATAATACAAACTGGTAAAGCAGGTTAGTAGTTCCAGGAATACGGGTTAGTAGCAAGATATATATACAGTCTTTGGTATTGAAGTATCGCTGTATGACTTCTTACTGAGTCTACGTGCTCGCTCACTGTGACTCTTGCTCACTACGTTCG